GGAAGAAGGGCCCGAACGACTCACACCAGGACGAGAGGCCCGGAGATATGCGGGGGCAGGCGGAAACACGCCTGAAAAACACGACTGTCAGCATGCTTCGCAAGAGTTGCTGTTTTGAGATGGGCTGGTGGGGATACGCGAAGCGTGAAGAATTTGGCAATTGATAGCCACATTGCTCCCCCGTGTCCAGATCGCCTCGAAGCCGCACAGCCGATCGCACCACCCTGGCAGCGACTTGACCCGCAGTCTTCGGGCTTCGGCTGGGGGCCACGAGATTCTTCTGATCGTCGCTCCGGCTTCTTCAGAAGCGGTCGCCATTGATGACTACCTACCAGACCACCCCAACCCAACCCGAAGACCCGAATTTCGGGTTGGGAGGGGTATGGGCTTCATATGTGTTTATCTCATTGTCCCCGACCCCCCCCCGCCAACTGGGAATGGAGGGCAAATCGGGGCCGTTGGAAAGGGTTGGGTTGGAGTGGTTTGGTGGGCGGTGAATTGAAGCGCGGGGGGCAAAGCAGAGCCAGCAAGTGCACTAACGAACAGCAACGGCGGAGACACAAACTGCATACGTAAACTCAAACTCTCAAAGACGCTCTTTCAAGGCTCGGCGCTGGACCCCCCCCCCGGCGCGTGGAGCGCGCCAGGGGCGAACGCACTTGTGATCCTGCGACGGAGCGATAAGGCCGAGAGATGGAAACAAAAACAACATACTTAGGAACAAACAGTCGCAGGTCCGCGTGCGGATTTCTTGGCTCGGCGCCGACCCTCTCCTGTCTGGCGCGTGGAGCGCGCAAGTGGCGGACGCACTGTGATCCTACGGACATCTGAACCCTACCCTCACCAACTATCGATTCTCCCGAATCCATGAGAGGCGAGGGTAGGGCTCGCATTTCGCCAAGGGGTCCACGAAACGAATTCCGCACCCTACCGCCGCCGCCCATCGAGTCGCCTGAAGCGTTCTTTGATCGGCCAGGGTAGGGTTCGGAGTTCGCCGCCGAACTACAGCGACAAAGCCGAGGGCGACACGGTGTCCGGCCAGAACCGGTTGGAACTCCGAACCCCCAGGCCTCTCGCGCCGGACCCTGACGGGGTGTATGAAGATCAAAATCCATGACATCGCGGGACTGTTCGGTTGGGTCAGACAACTGAGCGACGAAGACGAGCGGGTCTTACGCACGATGGCACAAAGATCTCACGCGGTGACTTACACGGGCCGCCGGCGCGGCACGCCACACTGGAAGCGAGGGCGCGCACGCGCGACCTTACGCCGGACGCTTACGCGATAAAGTCGGTGAGGGAGAATGGGGACACCGAAAGGTACCGATAGCGCTAGTCCCGGGGCCTCTCCTGGGGTGCGTTCTGACCAGGAGGGTAGAGGTATGGGTATCAGAGCTGAACCTGAACGGTGTTTTCGTTTTCGTTTTGTGTTCGTGTTCCTTCGTTTTGTCTTCAATCCGCCTTTACCGCAAAACGAAGTCGAAACCAAAACGGCCCACGAAATCGCAAAAACACCGTTTAGGTCCAGCTCTGATGGGTACCTTTTCCTCCTCTGGGAGAATCCGTTTTCTGCGGCGCTCATTCGGGGCCCAACTCCCCGATAAACGATGGGAGGGGGCAAGCATCCTCGATAGGGGCGCGTCCCAGAGGCCTGGCCAAGTGTGCGTCGCCGGCGGCGTCGGCGTGGGGAAAGCCAGGCTCTCCACATCGAGCCGCATGGGCGATGTATCTGCGATGCGTCGCGACCCACCGAAACACCCGAATGTCTACATCCACCGCCTGCCGAGGTCCCCGAAGATCGACGCCCCAGGCGAAGGGTATGGATAAATCCCCGCATCGGCATTCACTGCTGCGGCGGGTATTTACTTACTTCGCCCTCACCTGGGCGGCCTGGAAACCTGGCCCCCGAGAGCAGAGGCGCAAGCAGTGGCACGACTTTCGGAGGTCCGGGCCAGGGCCGCCGCCGCGGATCGCGCAAGCGGTGGCGCCGGAGGCACGGACAGTGGGTCCAGCGCCGACCCACGAAATACGCGGTGACCTCGTAAAGCTCATTGAAGGGGCCCCAGGACACACAAATAAATACACACAAATAAAAAGATACCCCATGTTTTCCCATATTTTCTTGGTTTTTGTCTTCCCCCCCACTTCCCATATTTTCCCATATTTCTGGGGGATCGACGATGAATTGTGTCTGTGTGTTTGTTCCCCTCCTGACTTATGCTTATGCCGACTAGGAGGGCACGCCGACCCTGCGCCACGGATCGGCCTGGCCAAGATCGATGCAGCTAAGAGGTTGGTGCCCTCCGATGTCTCTTACCCGAGGCAGAGAGAACAAGAGCGAGATAGAGAGAGACTCCAGCCCGTGGACCCAAACATCCGACGATGTGGTGTTTCCAATGCCCAGACAGCCGGCGTCTCGAAAAGCTCGTGACTGAGGTTTGTCATAAACCTCGGCGTCTTGGGGCCCTCCGCGGGCCTCATTACCATCAACAATTCAACGACTCGGGCTGAAAAACCGGTCCCGGGGAAAGGGTCAGGGGGTCGGGGGCCCGTGTCGAGGATCAAGACGCCGGCCTCCTCCTCCTCCTCCTCCTCCTCCTCCTCCTCCTCCTCCTCCTCCTCCCTCCTGCTCCTCCTCCTGCTCCTCCTCCTCCTCCTCCTCTCCTCCTGCATCTCCTCCTCCTCCTCCTCCGCCTCCTCCTCCTCCTCCTCCTTCTCCTCCTCCTCCTCCTCCTCCTCCGCCGCCTCCTCCCCACCGCCGCCAGTCATCGATTTCCCTGAACCGATGGGAGGCGCGGCCGGGGCTCGGATCTCACCGCGCGTTCCACGAAGTCCGCACCCCGCCCGCCGCCGCCACTCGAGCTGCCCGAATCGTTGATCGGCGAGGGCAGGGTTCGGATCTCGCCGCCGAGCCAGATGTCTGGGTGCGCGGCCTAAGGGGTCCCGACGACCTCCCTGGGGGCACGTGTTCGCCTCGGAGCCGCTCTGGATGGCACCGGCAGAGGGAATACGCCGGGATGGAAAAAAGCAAGTCGTATCGCACCGTCGAAGATCTGGTGGACCCTTCCCCTTGGACAGGCGCGCTGCACTTCTCGCAAATCAACTACTCGCAAATTGCCTGGATCCGCCGCGGGGGGATTTACGATATATGACATATTGGCGGTGGACAAACCCCCCTTTAGTAAACCTCCCCTTAGTGAAAAGGGCCTGGGGCCGAAACCGACGGACCCGGACCCGCAGAAATGACGGCCCCGCGACGCCCCCTCGCGAACCGAAAACGGCCAAGTCACGAATCGACGTGTCAGGGTAGGAGGTCTATCAACCTCCGAACTATTGGAGGTCCGCGCGGATCTGTCTTGGATCTGCGCTCGACCTTCCCCTCGAGCGGCGGAGCGCGCCAGGGGCGGCGCCCGAGGCGCCGCCAGGGGCACTGGCGCAGATCCAAGAAGCCCGCGCGGAGCTTCGAGAGTTTATGTGCTAGGTCTCCTCCTCCTCCTCCTCCTCCTCCTCTTCCTCCTCCTCCTCCTCATCATCCTCCCTCCGAACATAAAAAGAAGGCGTGTTTTTTTTCTGACGCCTGCGAGCAGGCCCTCTGTGAGCAGCGGAGCGCGCTCGGCGGCCCCATGGAGGCTCCGTGCTGGTCTGGGCGCCCCCCTGCGGGCCGAGGTGGCGGCGACAGAGCCAGGGAGAGAGGCTCCCTGAGCTCTGGCGGTGCGACAAAAAAACAGGTGCTGCGTCGAGCGATCCCCGCCAAAACCTGCGGCGTATGTTATGATATGCCGATGTGTCGTGCCATGGTGTGTCGTAGTATGGTATGGTATATCGTGCTGCGAGGGGTGGTGTAATCATAGGCTCTGTGTGCCCAGTTATGTCATGGAAATCCCATGCCATATCATACCATAATAGAGCATAGCAAGACATAGCAGAACATTACATCCAACACAATGGCATAACATACACACACTGTTGTCATTGGTGTTACATCCAACACAATGGCATAACAACACATATGTGTGTTATGCCATTGTGTTGGATAGAATGTGCTGGTATGTATTGCTATGCTCTATTATGGTATGATATGGTATGGGAATTCCGATCCGTTATAATATGCGTTGTCATGCTGTGGTGTGCTATGATATGGCATGTCATGGTGTGTGATGTTGTGACATGTTATGTTTTGGTATGTTCAAATCTGCGTTGATTTGTTATGGCATGTTCGATGTGTCATGCTATGGACAGATATGGGCTGTGTTGTACTATGGTATGCACCGCTCTGTCATGGTGTGTTATGTTACGAGATGGTGTGCCATGATATGGTATATTATGCTCGGTTATGTTCTGCTCGGTGGTGTGGTGTTATGCTCTGTTCTGTGGGGGACCTGGGGGTTTGGCGTCCACAGAATTAAGAGTGGGCGAGTCGGCGCGGGGGGCGGGACCCTCAGTGATTATCGGGGGGCCTGGGGATCTTGCGGCCGCAGTATGCAGAATGGGCGAGTCGTCGCGGGGGGCGGGATCACCAGGGATTATCAGGAGCCGGATCTGGCGGCCGCGGTATGCAGGGCGGCAGGGGGCTGGACCACCAGGGATTAGCGGGCGACCTGGGGATCTGGCTGCCGCAGTATGCAGGGCGGGGGGGCGGCGGGACCACCAGGGATTATCGGGAGCCTGGGGATCTAGCGGCCGCGGTATGCAGGGCGGGTCGGCCGGGAGGTCTCCTCAAAATCTAACGACCGCAACCTGTCGGGTGGGAACAAACATCGCGAAGCATCACGACCAGAGCTCTAGACCCCATCTTTCTGCGCCATGTCTCGAGCCGGATCGATCTGTGCGGGTCCCGGGGACCGAAACCAAACGAAGACGCCCGTTGTGAAGAATATGCGGCGTCGGGATCTCAAGGCAAGCCTGATTTGACTGGTTCCCGACCGAGGATCCACCAGGGCCGAGTCTGAAAGCTTCCCCTCGAGGAATGGCAGATCTCGAGAGGGTGGGCGGCAAAAGGCCTGGCGCCCGAGGGTGCCGGTGGCGCCCAGGACCAGCACCGAAGTCTTCTTCACGACGGAGGAGTCAGTTGGCGCTGCCTCGAGGTCCTCGCGGCGGGGGGGGAGGGTCGTCGTCGTCGTCGTCATCGTCGTCCTCCTCGTCGTCGTCGGCAGCGGCGGCGGCGGGGGCGGCGGCGTCGTCGTCAAGTTCCGAATCGCCGCAAACAGATATTTGGGCGACGTTCTGAGCAAAAGCCTGGGGGCTCGCACGGTAACTCGAGACCCAGATTACGTCGTACCTACGACGTCGGACTTACGTCGGATTCCCGTCGGACTGTGCCAGCTTTACGTCGGATTCAAGCCAGATTCACGTCGGACTGGCGTAGGAGCATCGCCACGCGAACGTCAACCCATATCGCAACGGAGCGGACTTGTGGACTAGATGATACAACTACCGCGCGCCGCGCGAGGCATTATTAACAAAATAATCCCTAACTCGTTTGGGGAACCTACGATAGGAGGGCCGCAAACATTAGGGATAGGAGGTTTCATCTGCAGATGTATCGAACCAAACCGCCCATATCGATTTATCCCTGATGCAAAGACGGGGACCTCAATGAGGCTACGTCTTCATCGTGTTAGTATGGTTCGAGGTTTTATTACCCTCTATGATCGGGGATCTTCTGACCCGGGTCAATCCAGACCCGGGTCAATCAGGCCTGCAAAATCCTGCAAGATGCTGCACCCAAACCCAGGTCAGTGCGAAGGATCCTGCAGGATCATGCACCCAAACCTGGGTCAATGCGACCCTGGCGCTGCAGGATCCTGTGAGATCCGGCGCTCTAGCTGACCCCCCTCTGCACTGGCCCCCGTCTCGAGGCTCCCGATATGAAGGCATGCCCAGATCTCCAGCGAAACTGTAGCTTCAACATGGCGTCCGTCCCTCGATCTCGGCCCGCCGGGGGGGGGGGGCAGTCTGCGGGCCCGGGGGCCCGCCAGCACGAGACAGGCTCTTGACTGCCGCAGACTGATGTGGCGCGACGGTGCCGCGTCAAAATGCCCAGGATGCCAAATGTAAGAAGTTCATCTTTTTGGCGACGGCGCCTTTTTGTTGAATCACTTTAGATGAGAAAGAACTATGCGCATACACCGATTCTGGCAAGGCCCATCCTGAGCCCAGGATCGGTGCATACGCCCTCCTACCTTGGCCAGGGAGGCATATGCACCGATCCTGGGTAAAGGATGGGCCTTGCCAGGATCGATGCATGTGCATAGTTCTCTTCGCTCGACCACTAAGTGCACCCTCTGCGCCACCGAGATTTGGCGAGGAGTCGGCATACTAGTCGCTCGCCCGCGAAACTCCACCTGTCGCGCTGGTTCTGAACCTAGAGCGGCGCTGTCGACAAACTGCCTCAGGACACAACCAAAACGAGACATCAGGAAACAGGGCCGCTGCTTCTCGATCTCGTATTGTTTGTTTTCGAAGGCATCTCGAATGCCTGATATCTCGTTCTCGTATTGTTTTGAAGCTGCTTCTCGTTCTCGGTCTGGGGCGATCTCGTGCTCCTCCTGGCCGCTGCTTCTCGATCTTGGCCCTCGGGGGGGGCGTCCCCAGGCCCCAGGGCCACAAAAACAACGAGCCCGGGACGCAAAAAAACACGCCCAGGGAAGCGGCCGAGACCTCTGGGGCCGCGGACTGGAAAGAAAAAGCATGGGCGGGTGCCGGGGTACGTGTTGGCGCCCTGACATCCTCGCGTCGCGAGAAAAGAGACACGACGCAAGGTTCTCTACGCTTTTCGGCGGCCGAGGGCCCTTGCCGGTCCCCAGGGCCGTCAGGGAGCGGCCTGGGGAAGCAGAGCGTCCCCGGGAAGGGGTCCAGACCTCTGCCCTGACCCTCCACCTTCCGCACCTTCCGACAGGCAGGTGGCCGATTTAGTGATCTCCTGGAAGGGCAACAGGCCTGCATCAACCCAAACTTTCGAAGCTCCGCGCGGATGTCTTGGATCGGCGCTGGACCCCCTCCCTGGCACGGGGAGCGCCCCAGGGGCGGCGCCAGGGGGGAGCTCCAAATTTTTGGGATTATGCAATATGTTGCCTCTCCAAGAGATCACTGGAAGGTAGAGAGTCAGGGCAACGGCCCGCCCGCCCACCCCGAAGGGGCGTCGGCGTGTGTCTCTCCATCTGCCGCTGCCACCTCGTCCTCCTCAACCACCTCCTTGTCTCCTCAACCTAGAGAGGCCTCCTGCATGGGGTCGGAGTAGCTGGGGTCGCAGGATCGCGCCGCGTCGCCAATACATCGGCGATGCATCGGCAATGCACTGGCGAGGCATCGTCGACGTCAGCGATGCATCAGCGACGTCGACGTGAGGCAAATCGGGCTCCACATCGAGCCGCATCGGCGATGCATGGGCGATGCGGCGCGATCCTCGGACCCCATCTACTCGGGGCGGCCAAGAGGGGGGCGTCCAAGTGGGGAGAGCGCAACTCGTGGCCAGCGGCACGTGCGCGGCCCAGGTTGGGGGGCAAGGCACGTAATGAATAAGAAGTGGCATAATGAAGTCTGAGGAAATATCATGGCCCACGCTGTGGTATCCCCCCTAGTCATCACCTCCCTCTTTGCCGCCCCTCATCTGCTCCAACCCTGTCCAGGAGGCCTATTTAGAACCTCTCTCTCGAGATGCTCCCTGCATCGGCCACCTGCCGGTAGGAAGGCGCGGCAGGTGGTACGAGGCGAGGATTTATCCATATCCGCCGCCTGGGAACCGACGTCCTGGTGCCCCAACGTGCGGTGGATGTGGATATATCTCGGCCCCCGGGGTGGAGGTTTTGTCTGTCCCCTGGAGCATGACGTTTTGCACCGATTTGCAAATGGATCGAGCTCAAATAAAATCCTACTACATATGGATCCACCTCTAATAGAATCCTATGACATATGGATCCACCTCTAATAGAATCTCATTACATACGGATATACCTCTACGGGAATCCGATTAGAAATGGAACCGCCTCTATTGGAATCCCATTAGAAATGGGCCCACCTCGAGTGGAACCCTTTTTACAAACGCATCCACCTCTGATCAAATCTTAAAACGCATGGGTCGACCTCGAATAGCATCGCATTACATATGGATCCACCTCTCATAGAATCGCACTACAGATGGATCCACCTCGAAGAGAATCCTACTACACATGGGTACACCTTCCATATAATCCGATTAGGAACGGATCCACCCCTAATAAAATCCCACTACAGATGGAGCCACCTCTGATGTAGTCCTATGGCATATGGATCCACCTCTAATAGAATCCAACTAGAGGTGGGTCCACAACTACGGGCAGCACATCAGAGCTGGATCCACCTCGAATGGACTCCTGGTACGGATGGATCCACCTATAATAGAATCCTTTTTTACACATGAACCCACGTATGATAGAACCCCATTACAAATGGGTCCACCCCTAATGGAATCCTATTAGCGATGGGTCCACCGATGATAGAATCCAATTAGACACAGATGCCCTCTAATGGACTCCAATTACATATGGATCCACCCCGGATATAATCCTATTAGAGATGCTTCCATCCTCAAAGGCATGCTATTAGAGATTGGTCCACCTCTAACAGAATCCTCTTACAAATGGATCCACCTCGAATGGAATCATATTGAGGATGGGTCCACCTCTAGTGGAATCCTAGTGCGGATGGATCCATCTCTAACAAAACCCTATGACAGATGGGCCCACCTCTGATACAAGGGGCACGCGTGACAAGGATCATACAATGACGATGTGGGTCCATGGGAGATGGAGAAAACCAGGGATCGCGAGGGAGGCAGTCCTTGGCAGGCGCCGGGAAGCGTGCCGCAATTGCTGCGACACGTTGGCAAGGGACAGATTCGAAGACGGGAAGGGGCGGCTAGAAGCATTTCAGTTTGGGCATGGAATAAGGGGAGGGTGGCGCAGGGGGGGAGCGGGGGGGGGGTGGTCGGTCGGAATAAAGGGAGGGGGGCCAGGGGGGGGGGGGGGGGAAGGAATTAAGGGGGAAGGGGGCGCAGGACGGGGCGGAGAGGAGCCCACGGGTCGGGAATAAGGGGGGAGGGGGGCGCAGGGGGGAGCAGAAGTCGGAATAAAGAGGGGGCGCAGGGGGGAGCGCCACGGTCGTCGGAATAAAGGGAGGGCGCAGGGGGGGAGGGGGAGGGGGGCCCCACGGTCGGTCGGATAAGGGGAGGGGGGCCGCAGGAGGGGAAGGGAGGGGCCCACGGTCGGTCGGAATTAAGGGAGGGGGGCGCAGGGGGGGAGGGGGGAGGGCACGGTTGGTCGGAATAAGGGGAGGGGGGCGGCCGCAGGGGGGTGAGCTGGGGGAGGGGGGGCGCCCGGTCGGTCGGAATTAGGGGAAGGGGGCGCAAGGGGGGAGAGGGGGTGGGCCCATGGTCGGTCGGAACAAGGGGAGGGGGGCGCAGGGAGGAGGGGGGGGGGAGGCCACGGTCGGTCGGGAATAAGGGAGGGGGCGCAAGGGGGAAGGGGGGGTGGCCCCACGGTCGGTCGGAATAAGAGGAGGGGGGCGCAGGGGAGGAGCGGGGGGAGGGGGGCCACGGTCGGCCGGAATAAGGGGAGGGGGCGCAGGGAGGAGGAGCGGGGGGGGGCCCACGGTCGGTCGGAAATAAGGGGAGGGGGGCGCAGGGGAGGAGCGGGGGGGGTGGCCCACGGTCGGTCGGAATAAGGGGACGGGGGCGCAGGGGGGGAGCGGTGGGGGGGCCACGGTCGGTCAGAATAAGGGGAGAGGGGCGCAGAAGAGGAGCGGGGGGAGTGGCCCACGGTCGGGCGGAAGAAGGGGACGGGGGCGCAAGGGGGGAGCGGGGGGGGGGCCCACGGTCGGTCGGAATAAGCGGAGGGGGGCGCAAGGGGGGAGCGGAGGGGGTGGCCCACGGTCGGTCGGAATAAGGGGAGGGGGGCGCAGGGAGGGAGCGGGGGGGGCGGCCCACGGTCGGTCGGAATAATGGGAAGGGGGCGCAGGGGAGAAGCGGGGGGGGTGGCCCACGGTCGGTCGGAATAAGCGGAGGGGGGCGCAAGGGAGGAGCGGGGGGGGGGCCCACGATCGGTCGGAATAA